CACCAAGTGTCCTCACTCTCACTTAATTAGAACCAAAGTTATCGTGTCCCAAAGTATCAACGAATAAAATTGCTTATCTCTGCTTAACCTAAGCCGAAAATGCTTATCTTTAAATTCCACCAAGAAATTCACCTAAAACATCTAAAACAAGTGTGAACCATCTAGCTCAATTAGAAAGAGAGTTATTGTGTCCGAATAACATGGCGGACAAACAGACAGACAGACCCATTTTAATGGTCCCTTGCTTTCTCCGAAAGGCGGGGAACAAAATATATAAATATTAATTTAATTTATTCTATGAGTTACACATACTTTTTATTCAGTCGGTAAATAAATAGAAATCACATTAATAAATATAAAAACAAGAAAACTACTAACATGCTAATATTGCTAGATCTCTGTTCTTATTCTTGTTTTCTTCTGATAAAGCTACTGAATAATCGGCTGTACCTTGTGGTGGACACACATCATTAAGCATCTGAAATAAAGATTCATATTATAAATCACAAAACTAGCTCCATGCATGAAAATACACGAGAGTGTATATTTAGAGTATTATTATGCATATTTACCTCAAATCGTTCTTGAAGCTGTGATTTACCAGACGTTTTATTGACCTTCAGTAACGCCTGATAGTCATTTTGATAAGACGTCACAGGAAATGTAATATCTCCAGCTATATACCATTCAGCTAAAGCATCATGTAGAAATACATATTGTTCCTGAAATATTTACATAGATGTGAATTCGATTTTACCTTCAAATAATAATACTATAAGATATTAAGGCATACATTAAATAAACATACCCATGCCTGGACCATGTTAACTCGTTCATATCTCATCTGTTTAACACATTCATAGATATCTACAGAACCTTCTGCTCTAGCTTCTTCTATCAGATAATCTAAACCTATAAAAGTTCCCGTTCGTCCAATACCAGCACTGAAAAAAATACATAATTTCCTTTATGGTAAACCTATTTGTTTTACTGTTGATTGATTATGAGGTGGATAAGTTATCGTATATATCAATTCTTGGTAAATGTATTGACTTACCTGCAGTGTACCACCATTGGTCCTGGATGTGGTGATACCGCTTTAATCACTCTACTTCTGAATTCAAGCAATGACGCAATATCAGTAGGAACACCTTTATCAGGCCATGATGTAAAATGATATTGTTTAATGGTTCTAGATCCACATTCATCCTAGAAATGTATGCGTATATTGAATGTTAATAGACAAGAAAAGACAAGTATGATTAGACAGTGTACTGTCATCTTTCTGAAACTTAAAGAATTTATTTAAGAAATTTGTTATGATTTACTAATAAGGGTCTATCGCTGTATTTGCTCAAAACAATAGCGATATCGTATTTGGTTCATAGAGTTATTCAAAGGTAATAGTTGTATAGTTTTCAACATGTCTTTCGATAAGAAGAAGACTAGGAATGCATATTTAAGGTTTGAATTACTTAATATATACTATAGGATGGAAAGCAGAATTAGACAGCCCGAAACAGCATTGTTGTATAATGACAGAAAAATATGTTTGATGGCCTGAAAATTTAAATATTGATGAATGAATATATGTGCCCATAGCCTAGTGTCTACAAGGTTTCGGGGCGTATATTTTTAACAAATTAAACACTTACTTTAGAGATTTTTAAGGTTCTAATTGTGAAGTGAGAAAAGTTCTCTTCATTGACCAATGTCATGGAAATTTGACCAAACTTCATTTCTTCGCCACTGTCGGGCCAATATTTGAAACATTTTTCCTAGAAAAAAAATATATTAATGAAGATCAATATACTAATATTATCGGTATTAGATATCCGTTTATGCTGTCCTTACTAATATACTTGGCCCATTCTAATGCATAAATATTTCTGTAGCTGATTGTTACGTATATACTTGACCAATTCTAAGGCATATATTTTATGTTTTCATGAACACCTAGTGCCACTTTCTATTATAGCAAATGTACCCAGGCCCTAGAAGAGGAGGGGCAAAGATTATGGGGGCCATGTTATCCGAACTTAGTGCATAGAGAAATAGTAAATTCTACATTTAAAGGGACCATCCCGATTTTAGCAGAAATACAATTCCGTGTACGTATGATATTGTAACGCCAAAATATAGAGGAATGGCGTATTTACCTTGTCTCAAAATTTCAGCTCAAAATATTGAGTCGTTTGGACGTTAACGTCAAAACCGCTTATCCGGACACGTAACCCTTTTAAGATTTCGGGTCAATTTTTTCGTTGGGTGACCTCATAATCTATTGCCGTTCCTTTAGAGGTCTATAAGGTGAATGATTCGTGTGTTGACTTGATAATGAAAGGTAAATGTCACCTACACGTTATTTTTATAAAATAAAAGTCTGGTTTTATCCAGACACCGTATAAGACAGCTTGGGACATTGGCCTCCATTTCCAGATGACGACTGACGGGTTTAAGTTGTTTGAAAACGTATAATGTATATTGAGTTAGTTGTTCGGCCTTAAGGTAAAGGATTTTAAGGGCTTTTAACAGAAAATTGAGCAGTTTTATTCTCCAAAATATAATCGAGATTGGTCCTTTAAAGAGAAGACATGCCATCATATTTTGCGATAATCCTTGCGTGGCATTTAGCGATTTAGCACATTAAAAAGCACAACACAATTTATGTGGAAAACAATCACTGGTCGTGCTATATGTGTATAAACCAGTGATTGTTTTCCATATAAATTGTGTTGTGTGTTTTTTTTTTAAATAACTTCATATAATACACATATATTTCAATATTGTGATATAATTTAACTAATAGCTTAGCACATACAGTTCCCAATTCAACCAGGTTGGTCAACATAACAATCTTCCCGGTCTGTGAAACCCACAATAATCGCAAAAACTCTTTAATAATAACATCAATCGGACCTGTTAAAAGGAATTAAAGTATATCCGAAAATATATATTAAATATATCAGAGTAAAATATTAATAACTGACACGATATCAAATATCCATAACTTATACGGTATCAGATATTCATAACTTATACGTTATCAAATATCAATAACTTATACCTTATCAAATATCCATAACTTATACGGTATCAAATATCCATTACTTATACGGTATCAAATATCCATAACTTATACGATTTAAACTGTACAATTGTCAGCTTTTACTAATCTTTGCGAAGTTTAGGACTTTGTGATATCAACATAAACCTGATACCTCTAAGTAATTCATGTTTTATTTTAAAATGAAATGAAAATATTTACAAAAATTTCCAACCTTGTGAAGCAATATATTTGTTTTCAGCATTTGCATATCCCTGTGTAAAAGATATAAATATAACATACTGTAAATAAAAGAGATCAATATGTGGCCTATTTGATAAAAACAATTAGATTCAATTGTTTACTACATGCATTTTAATATAGAAAAAAATCCACGGGTGCTTGTTAAGGGGTAAGCTTTGATTACTAGTCACTGAGACCCTTCTATTGAACTAAAAACACGCTTGCCTAAATTATACAAATACATACGAGTGGATAGCCAGCTTACCCACTGCGAATCCCCCGGCCTAGCTAGTAAATAACTAATAACTTACAGTTATATAACAAGCATTGATGTAATCAGAATTAGGGTCATCATTTTCTATATCCAGTTTTACTCGTGAATGATCAACTGTCAAAAACATATTTTTAAAAAGATGATAATATACATTCTTCTTATATATTTAAATCTGTCTAATCATATATATGTTCATATTATTAATCGTATAACTGTAATCCGTCTATTGGTATATATGTATTTATTTAAAACAATAAAAAAATCTAAATGTCTCACGGATAATTTACTCCATAAATAATTATCTATTAAAGAAACTTACAAGCACATATGTTTTTATATCTATTTTTAGGCTTATTAACAGCATTCATACAATAATCATATGCTGAACATAGTCCACTTGGAAGAGTCTGAAAGGGAATTAATATTGTTTATATTTAAAAGGGAGATTAGATAAAGAGCTGGCAGTTCGCACTATAAAAGTTAAAAACTAGATAATGTAAAGGAAATTTGCTGAAAATTTCAGTCAAAGTGATCCACTCTGAACCGAGATATTAGATTTTGAATTTTAGGCCTCGCCTCGATCATCATTACTAAGAATGATTGACAACTTGGCAAACATATTGGCTTCTATATGCCATATGACATATTAGGACCAACAAGTGACATCTGTGTCAATATTTCGCATTCGGGTAGGAGGCGATTTACAATTGCAAGGAAACCATCGAAGCCGAAGAAAACCCGATGGGGGAGAACGGTAATCGTTACTTCCCTTTGTTATGTAGATGTTTTAATGCCTGGAATCAAAATTACGACACGTGGTTCTATGGCAAACCTGACGGACATGACTAGGACAATCCATTAGATCAGCTTAGGTTAGAATATACCATCCTAAATTATTTTACTAACTTACCTGATATTCAGTTTTGAAGGTTTTTTCTTTTTTTCTGGATTTGATATATGGCAGTAGATTGGTCAATTTAACACGTGTAGAGGGTTCACTTGGTTTATCAACGTTTACATAAACTTGTGTTGATTGTTCATCAACTTCTAGTTTGTCGGACGATCCTAACTGATTAACATATGTATTACCACTCTCAATAGGCTTCTCTTCCACTATGAAAAGAAGATGATATATGAACATACAGTCACGTTATATACACAATAAACTAATGTATATACGTTATTTTTATTTAGTCTTTCTATGAGATTTGGTAAAGTAAGAAATTTGTTTTTTTTAATTCAGTCAGGCTTTTTTCTAAAAAAAATAGACATGATAGAAATTTGATTTTTGCCAAACGAATAATCGGTATTGTAACAGATTGAACTTAGGTACAGCACTAACTATTCACAGAACACTAAAATAAAGAACGAAATTAAAATGAACTGAGGTTTAATGCCCTACTGTTCTGAGGACGAAAAGTAGATTGTTGGCACGATGACACTAAAAAGGCCGAATCGTGAAATCATTAACTGTAATGATAAGCCACAGAATATTACATTATAGACCGAATCTTGAAATGATTAAGTCCTCTGTTTCTACTAGATGAACTTTAATTATAAAACTCTCAACCGACCGTTAACTGTTTTTTCTGAAGGTCTTGATACATCAGTTTTATCATTTAGTGGTATATCGTTCACTTCTAGTTGGTCAGATTTCGTCGATTTTTGTCGCCTGCAAACATAAACCCCCAAAAACACACAAAATTACAAAACGAGGCGCACACTTTTGATTATTTTAAAATAAAATATAGAATCCCTTTTACAAAAATATCGAACCTTCAATAATTCAGAAAATATAAGACCTTAAAGTAATTAAATTGGTGTAGTTTTGAGTAGCAACTGCGTCTGTGAAACGTACACTTTTTCTTAGATGAATTAATACATTTGAGATGAACTTGTGTCTTTAAAAATCTCAGCGTAGGAATTCGTAATGCCGCTATTTAAATTAGAAAATAATTTGTATTTTAACTACTTCCGATGCTTTTTGGTAATATTGATGGTTAGAATCAAGGACTGATTCAGCTTACCTTCTACATTTTAGGACTAGAAAGATAACAACAGAAGCGATAATAACTGCAACCACAGTTGATACTACAGCAGCTATTATTGTCGTGTAATCGTCTGGTTCATGTGGGGTTTGTACATCTAGAATCATAAAAAGATATAATGTTTTGGTGAAATGGTAATATAATTTGCTGCGAAACGAGTACATTTGTTGAGACGAATTGACGACGTTAGAAGAGAGTTGAGAAGCGCGGGAGACTTTATTGTCTGATTGAAATCGCAGGAAAAAGACAGAGACAAACACCATCATACACCCATTCCCACATCAGATATAATATTAAATACTTTTTATAAGATAACATCTTTCCACGCACGTTCTATTTCGTCACAATCGAATCGTGAGTTAGCTAACAAAGTTATGGATCAAAGGGAAACTATCAGAATAACAAATTCTTTTGTAGTGAAACTCAAACTACACGTCGGCGATTTATTAATGAACACGTGTTTTGAAAGTAGCTTACCCTTACAAGTTGGACCTTGAAACCCATCAACACAACCAACAAGTCTACAACTGCCAGTGATTATATCACATGGTGTTTCATCAGCACAGTTACCACATTTACTGGTACAGTTGTCACCATAACGACCTGCTTCACAATCTGTTAATACAAGACCAACATTCATAATAACTAAATTTACTGTCACAGTCTTCACCAAGACCCTGCTTTTCATTCTGTTAATACAAGACAAATATTCACATTGAGTTTTATTAATATAATTAACAAATGTACTTTCACAGTTTGCCTGTTTTATTATCTGCAAATACAAGGCAGTCATAAAACATTTTCCCATGTATATAAATAATGGGGTTTACTATCCTCGTCAGAACAGTAGGACGTTAAACCCCATTTCATTTCATTTCGCTCTCCTCATACTAACCCACGCATTCTTTACCCAGTCTGCCCCTGTCTTTACATCAATATCATGTATTAGAAGCAATTGTCCTGTATTATTGTAATGGCTATATGAACGATGTAAGATAGATTCTATACTGCCAGTGTGATGTAAATGTGAAGAACATTGCCACATCTATTTACAGATACGTGTTACCATTCCAATTGTCTATTTCAAAGATTGGCAATAAAACACTGGCGACAACAATTATGTTAAAACAAACTTAATTTTACCTGCTGTACAGTTGGATCCTATTTTACCAGGTACACACCCATTTACACAATTTCCTGTCATCTGATCACATTTAACTACGGTTGTACCTATTACTGGTTTACAATTAGTATTACATAGTTTATTACATGATGATCCCCATTTTCCATCTCTACATTCAGTACAAGAGTTGGGATTACCCAGATTACAAACAGTGCAGTTATTATTGCAGTTGACATCACATCTGTCTCCAGTTTTACCTTTAATACAAGATGTACATTTACCACTATATCTATCACATCCACCATGACATCCTATACTACAGTTCATATCACAATCATTACCATATCTTCCTACAATACAATCAATACATATACCAGGACCCCTTTTACATCCACCATCACATCCTGTACTACAGTTGTTATCACATCCTTCACCATATCTTCCTATACGACAGTTAGTACATCTACCAGTTCTATCACAAGTGGTCGTTGTCTCGTCTGGGCTTGATTGACATTCTGTACCACAAGTAAGGTTACAGTATTGGCCAACTGTATCAGGTTTACAGTCATTACATCTACCATTAGATTTAGAACATTGGTTGTTTAAACAACCATTACTACAGTTCTGTTGACATTTTTTACCATAAAAACCCGTTTTACAATCTCCATTACAAACACCAGTTGTAGGATCACATCTGTTATTAAGGCATGTATTACATGGTTGACATGTAGAACGTGATGTATTGTAGTATCCAGTATTACATTGTGCTAGATCTGTAATAAAGAATATATTATTACTGATAAGCTGATACTATGAACAGCGGCGTTTTAGTGATGACAATCTTTGTCTTTATATCACATAAGTGGTCATTATTATAAACGAATGTTTAATGTGTATAGAGAGTGGTTAGAAATTATACAGTTGTCATTAATTAGCTATATTATTATAGCAAGTATTACATGGTTGACATACAGAACTGAAAGTAATGTAGTATAAATTACAATACCACGGATTACTTGAAGAACTATATGAATATTGCATTTGTCTTTATTACATTGTGTTATATCTGTAATATAGATGATATCTATCATTATTACATTATACTACAACTGTAATTTACTTTATACTACATCTGTAATATAGATGGTATCTATTATTATTGCATTATATATACTATGCCAGTAATATAAATAAGAGATGTGTATCTGTAGAACAAACATAGTATTTAATGTATATATTATGGTGTATTTGATGTATTGTAGTATCCTATGGTGGTTGACTGGTATCTTGTCGTGATGTCGTCCTTCATAAGGCGACAACCCGACATCACGGCATTACGACATTTTGACCCGACAAGCCGACATTTTTATCCGGCAACACGACATTAAATGGGGTAAACAGAAGGTTGTGGAACACTGAATATCGATGGAATTCATCCAATTATCGTACAATCAGGTAAAATAATTGTGGAATTTACGGTCCGACGTGTGTCAGAGATATTTGGGAGATAAACGTATATATTTTCAGCTTGGATAAAAATTGCAACCTATAGAGTGTTCACAAAACAAAATGTCGACAGACGTCCTGATAAAAAGGGGCGACGGGCATAATACATCCACATAAGATTGTGGGCGACGAAAAAGTGCTTAAGAATGAATAAAAATGTTTTATGTATCGGATTGTTCTGTTAGTGTTAAAATTGAATAAGGGAGTTTTTATTAATATTGTTCTAACAAGAAAGAACCATGTACGTAGAACCCTGTATCTAACATGTACGTAAAGGAACTGTATACGTAGCAGTCACGTAAAACTACGATGTACGTAGCATGTACGGAAACGAACCCTTGCCAGTTAAAAATCAAAGAAGTATTGACAGATAGGCGCTGTTCGGTCAAAATTCTTCCTCATTGCATTTTACAGTCATTGAATAACAATTACAACATGTTATCCTAACGAAATACTAAAGTATTGCATGTATTGACAATAATATCTTTTGCGTTTATATACAATTTAATAGCGTCACAAGTGTTAGTCATATCAAACATGAATTATGTAAAAGCTAAATTATTGATGTCATGAAGAGACCATAATCAGCTCTCGATGCCACCGGATGGCTCCGATTTTAAGTAGATTAGAACGGTTCGGCCATTTAATGATTTAATGTAAAAATTGAGAAGCGAGGTAAATCTGCGGTTACGATCAATACACGCATCTTTTCAAAATTACAATCAGTACTAACTTTGCTCAAAATAAAGTAATTTGAACGAAATTTTCAATAATATTTGCATTATATATTTTTGAAATATTACGGCTCTTTATCTAAATCTTACGATACCCCTTTAAATTACATTTTCATGAATATTTTTTCTCTATTCTTATATAATTTATCATGTCAAATTTTCTAACAATTGAGTCAATAAAATGGGGTTTAACGTCCTTTTTTCTGCACTAATCGGACTATTGACGATAGGCAGTCCTACGCGACAATTTTAAATTGGTGTTATCAAGTAAAATGTTTTTTTATCGGGTTAAATGTCGTGACGTCGGGCTGTCGGGGTGATGTCGAATTGTTGAGTTGTTGCCTTCTGGGGGTCGACATTCCAACATGATACCTTTATACTAGATGTACATACTGTTGTGCTGCTGGCCTACGTGTTGTCGGTAGAGTGCTGTAGTATGATATTGTTATTGTTCACGTTTTGCAACTGATGTACTGTATTACATGTTAATACATATTTTACAATATACCTACAATCAATATTATTGAAAAATATGATGAATTTATTTTCATTTCAAATTTAGCTTTTAATTTTACGTCCCTGTAATTAAAAATTCTCACTGTCAAGGTTTATTTTACGGGCACGGCATTTTATAACCGGAGCCTTGATTTGTCTTCTCCTCCGAACTAGTAGACACTTTCCTTTTTAGGTCCTCCCTGTCCTTCCCCACTTCAAAGGGAGGAAATCACGAGTAGTTATCCCGGTCAAGACCGGAGGCGAACTCGATACGTCATGGTTAGAGAACCATCTACTTACTCACTAAGCCACCACGGACCCCTTTATAATGTCACCGAAAACTATATTGTCATCAGGATATACAGTCAATGACATCGACCATTTTATTTTTCAGTTAGATGCAAAGCTTTAGTCATTTTAAGGAGATCATGTACATTAATTATTGTGTAGTTAGTTAATTGTTCCAGATAAAATATTAAATCTTCCAAATGACATATGGTCTCTTATTTACGTAAAGTAACAAATGATTAGGTCAGGTACCTGCAAATATTTCAACTTCACACAATGTTAGGGCGTTGTTAAAGTTTTTCACATAGACAATTCTACCAGAAAATGATGTAGATGAACCTTGATTACATCCAGTTACAGTATAAACAGACTGTATTGTTGATGTTGTATCTCTATAACATGATGTAGCTGATTGAAGTCCTGACGCGTCACAATAACCACTAGAACTTGTCTTCATCTCAAACCCTCGTAATCTCCACCACCCTGAAAATAAAAAAAATAGACAATCAGGCATGGATTAATAATAATGTATATTTGCAATGCGCTTAATAATCCATCCATATACGCATGCTCAAAGCGCCACATATAAGGAGTCAAAACACGCATAAAACAATTTGTTTCTAATCTGGATAATAGAGTTTTTGTTTTTGTTGTGACTTAAAAATTGTGAAAGAATGAGATTCCCTAATGTTTATTGGTAACTGATTCCAAAGACGAAGTGCAGCAGCACTGACACTTTTACCACCAAATTGTTTTAAGAGAGAGAGAGAGAAATGGGGTTTAACGTCCACTCGACACAAACTAGGTCATTTCGGGATCAACATGTCATATGGTTTAATTTTATTTACATAATTCGCTTGCGCGTAGGGGTCTTTAGCAGTGGGAGGAAACCGGAGGCCCCGGACAAAACCCACGAGGTTGGACAGGCGACCCTGCTCCTTGCCACGTACAACCGGGGATTCGAAACCACGCCAGTCGACTCAATGACAGACTTTATGATACAGCGCGCGCGCACGCTAACCATTCAGCCATCCACCCCCCCCCCCCCTTGTTTTAAGAACAGCAAGTATATTATTGTTATGCGACCATAGGCTACATTAATTGGGTTTATCGTTTGTCAAAAGTTCAGACAAATATAAGGGAGCAAGATCATTTTGACTTTGATATACTAATCACAGAACTTTATACTGAATCCGGGGTTCGACATGCAACCAGTGAAAAGACTTTAACCGATATTATGGATCAATATTTTGATGTTCTTGTTTTACAATCCTGGCAGCGATGTTCTGGACTCTTTGTAATTTATATGTACCAGAGTCAGAAAAGCATTGTTTGCATTGTCAATATAGGACAGAACTAATGATTTAGCAGCATCTGTCCATCTGTCGTGATTCGAGGCGGCGAATTTCACCACACAATTCACCAACGTGTGATTGCCATATATAAAAGTGTTAACTCAGGAAAACCACAAATAACTGGGCGTATTTTTAAATTTATTTAATACATTTATCTATCGTTGCATTAATATGCTTAAGAAAGCTTATATTATTCAAGCGAGGGTAACAAAACGAGAATACATTCGATCATAAATTGTGGACATGTACTACACATCATTAGCTGTTTAATTGATTTGAGGAACACAGTTACTGTTAAATATTGACATACTGACCTGAGTTTAGGAGTGTTGACAATCACCCGAAAACATTGCAAACAATATGAATAATGCTAACTTTTAGACCATGAAGTAATGCTAGGTTCCCATTGCCGTGCGATGCGTTATGATTGTCCCTAATGAGTCTACGATCTTGTGGGAGCCACGGTGGCTAGGTGGTTAAGACGCTGGCTCGCTAGCCTAAAAGTCGGGTGTTCGATCCCTGCATTGGCCGAGAAAGTTCATCGGGATTGTCCGACGTGGTTTCCCCCTTGTCAGTGATGCAGGACGGAGGGCCTGACAAGTGCAGCTGTCTAGTCCTTCGGATGAGACGAAAAACCGAGGTCCCGTGTATACATTAGAATGCACGTAAAAGATCCCTTGGCAGTTGGAATTCGATATAAGAGTAGGCGATAGTGCCGCTTCCCGGGCAAAATTTCTCTCATAGCACACTGTATGGCGTATGCCCGTCTTCATTAGGACGTTAAACCCCATTTCATTTCATTTCTATGATCTTGTACGTGCAGATACGTTCGGATATGTGTCGATACGATCAACATGAGTGCTACGACTGACCTCCATGTACGATACGACCCGATAGGATTACCACGATTAAAACCACGATTTCACTCGTATGCGAATCGTGATAGTGAGAGCCTAGCAGTAAGGGTAAGATAAATGTAGCAACACAAAGCCTGCAGCTGTGTGTCAACAGTAATGCAAGGTTCCCACTACTGTGCGGATTGTGCCCATTGAGTTCAAAATCTGCTGCGTTCAGATTCGTTCGAATACGATCAATGTATGATAAGACTTGGTAGGATCATCACGATAACTTCACGATTAAAACCACGATTTCTATCGCAGGGCGAATCGTGATGGTGGGGAACCTAGCATATAATATCCGAAAAGATAATTTGGACTTGATGGGAAAGGAAGATTGCGGAACGCTGCATGTTTATAGGGTTAGTCCTTTCATGAAACATATTCATTACAGACTGTGTCCTCTGTCATGTTCACAAGTTTGTTTGGACAAGGTGGTTGGGTAACTCTAGGATGTATCAGTCCAAATTTGATAGCAATCCCTTAAAACCAAGGACTCGCGTTGACAACGTAAATATTGTAACTACGGGACAGAAGTTCGCGGAACGATGGATATTAATAGGGTACGCCTTCTTATGACACCAATGCTTCACACCAAATATGATAAAATAACCTGTACATTCTATCGTGTAAGCAGGAATACTGCTTGTCGAAATGTTTCTTCCTCTCATGACCCTATATAATGCTTCCAACCAAAATTGCAAACAAATATGCTAACCACTGTAGCTATCGACAATCCTACGGGGTAACAGCCAAATACACTCACACTAAAACAATCCGGAAATGCTGTAATTAAATGTACATATTGGGGCCATATTTGAATTATTTTCAGTTCAATCTCTTTGCTGCTCGGAACTACACATTAAGGGCTCGAGTTAGAACTAATTGAATGCTACAAATTACCACCACATACTATAATACTATAGGGTTTTTTTTAGTATTAAGAAACGTGTTCTGTTTAATATAGAAATTCTTTACCTATATGATGTGTGACGAAAACTAGGGTAATGACGTGGCTTGCATTATTCTACTACTATCTTAGACTAACTCACCGACAGTTATGTCAGTATCCATTGCTTGAAGTTGGCTACTATAGTCCAGTTATCTCGTGCACAGATAAGTACAATTAACTAGAATAGTGTTGACGTAAAACGGTGCCTATACGAAACACTTACCCAAAATGGTAATTGGCCCGCCCTAAATAGATGACGCATTATAATATCTATATAGGAAAGATTTGGTTTGATTTACCTTCAGATATCATACAGCGGCCCGAGAGGGGAACATCGTAGCCTTCTCGGCTGAGAGGCTGGGATAGATACAAAATTTAGTATTTAAGTCGTTAGGTCTGAGTTGTAAAGGTGTTCCAGGGTCAGTTAATTGATGTTTGAAATAATTGATCCCACAACATGAAGTCGAAGAAAGTCATAGACGATAATGTCACATCTGATATTTTTATTTGTTGCCAAGACATAGCGGAAAAGGCAAACATTTTACGAGAAACTGGAACAGGCTATTTATAGTATCAATAACCGGTAGCTCAATCGTCTGAAAGAATAGCCAAATATTACCAGATATCTCCCAATTCTAACCAACCACATTCAAAACACAAGAACATAATACCTTATCATAAAACAAAACTGACAGAGTTCTTCAATCACTTCAATATTAATGAGTTAATTCATATAATAAGTGTAAACATTCAAAATATCTATCAGGATAAAGGATTGTACTATAAATAGAAGAAATCCGAAAAGTACCGAAAAGAAAGTTGATACAAACTACCGAAAAAATACGAAAACCCTAAATACCGAAATATCATTAAATACCGAAAATAAAACACAATTTTCAGACAAAATCCCAAGATCACACGTGCACATAAAAGATCCCTCTGCATTTGGAATTCGATATAGCTCCACTGTCCGGGTAAATGCCCCCCAAAAGACACTGTATGGCGTATGCCCGTCTTGATTAGCCCAGTCAGGAAGTAGTACGACGTTAAAGCTCATTTCATTTAACATCATTTTTTAGGACGGTAGTATGTCACGCTAGGGCACACGTAAATATAGTGGGACACTCTGGGTTGGTCAGGGGGCAACTGTAAAAAAAAAATGCAAACAGCAACTGGGGGGTGGGGTGGGTCTACCAGCCGAAAAAAGTGCATGAAAAAGTGCATTTCCGCGTAAGAAAATTGGGTGGTCTAACGGAGTTCTGCAAGAAAAAAAGCATTTCCGGGTACGAAAATTGGGTGGTCTAACAGAGTTCTGCAAGAAAAGAAGCATTTCCGGGTAAGAAAATTGGGTGGTCTAACAGAGTTCTGAAAGAAAAAAAGCATTTCTGGGTAAGAAAATTGGGTGGTCTAATGGGTCCCTGCAAGAAAATTGCATGAAACGGGATACGAAGTGTTTCAGTTCATATCAATAACAACTCCATCAAAATAGAATCGTATTTCTGTTTTTTACCGAGGTGTGTCGAATTAGTGGTCGAATCCAAGCGAAGATAAATTCAATTTTAAAATGCTTAATGAGTCTTGGGTCGCTGGTACATAAATTATGAAAGAAAATCTATTCGAATATTTCAAATAAAATATTTTTAACGTCTGAAGATTTTTAAAAAGATTAGTAGGCCTAAATTAGCCTTAGTGTGGCCTTTTTGACCGGTAGTGCCAGTCGTGAATGAATTAGTTACGGCCGGTTAACCGAGACTACACAGGGATAACTCTTGGCAACAACCGGCGACAATGATGGCTACACTTTCGAAGTTTTGATAACTTTAACATGGGTGAGTTTTTAGCCTTTATTATTTTATTTGCAGACCGTCAACACAATTTTATTGCTAGTTCTTGTTCAGAGAAGAGCAGTTCTTGCATACACCCCTCAGAATACCCTATAAAACTATGTGATGCCTAGGATTCAAGTGGTTGCTATGTACATGTATATCGTTCTGACGTGTTGTCAATATCACTGTCATTGTCAATTTTAGCATAATTTCCCGTTATCCTAGGCCCAAATCAGCTGCTATTTCACCTCCCCTAGTGACTATATTTTCAAACAATTTCTTGAGACTAATGACTCATTATCAGGCGGATCATGTTATTCAGAATTTGGGCAAACTTTGATTTAAATTGTCCACTTTAAAGTAAACACTGCAGAGACTCCCAGAGTGCAAAAAAACAAAACAAAATTGTCCACACTGCTTAGTTACGAATAATTTATGATACCTGTTTATGACTGATTTTCTTCTGTTTTATATATTTCAGAGATGTGTTTGGATGAAGTTTGAAAATAGTGTGATGGTCATTTGAGCAGAATTTCTTGAAAATATTTGTCAATAAAGATTTGGGTTGAGGAAGATGGCTGAGCACAAAATGAAAAAAAAGTACACTGTAATATTTATATATGCAGTTATTCGCCTTGCTAAACAGAGGGGAGTTATATATTGTCCAATCGATAGTGTCTAATCCACCAACCAAAACGCAAGATTCACAAGCATGTTACAATGCTGTGTCGATACTGTTTTTTTCCCTGTCTCGGAGGTGGTGTTTGGTAACTATGTTTTTAGGACAATTGTGATACTTAAGTGAATGGTGAACTTTGTGTTGTAAGGTGACAACTGTGATTAACTTTATAGTGAACTTTAATTTCGTGAAAACCCATGCTTTCTAACATGGCGGATCTCCATAGACATCGTGAACTCTGTGAACCGTGAACTCTGTGAACCATGAACTCTGTGAACTGTGAATTCCGTGACTGTGAACTCTAACTATTGAATTTAAACTGTCAACAAAGAAAGCTGTCAACTTGTTTATGTTTGTACTGTAACTCCTGTTTCTTGTATATGTTTATTTACATAAATATTCATTAATATTTCAAAGCCTTATCATTTCATTCAAGTGTTATCCCGTGATTTGATCGACTGTTGTCCTGTCAATTTGGTTTGCCAGCCCACTCAGAATAAACACGTCGTGTGGAGAGGGTTAACATCTTTTTTACCCACAACACCGCAGCATGCCGAGATGAGATTTGGGTAATCTTTTACTTCTTCACACTCTGGTCAAAATTGGTCAAACTGTGATCAGTAGATTTGAGTGGATATGGGAAAGCACAATAAATGAATAGGTACAAGCCTAAGTTCATATATTTTAGCCTGTCTCTGCATATGGGCAGTTTTAGACTATCTTTGCTAATAATTCAGACTCAGAATTTTGTCGAACATCAACTCAATATAAATACTGTATTTATAACATATCGTCATGTCATTTGTTCTATTGCTCAGCCTTTAGTAGTTAGGTATTGCACATACTTTTGGGTGGTCTAAAATGAGATATTTCAAGAAACACATTTTCTTGCACAAGATTTTAGGGTGGTCTAATAAGAAACTGTAAGGAACACATTTTCTTGCGCATGATTTTTGGGTGGTCAATTAAGCAACTGTGAAGAACACATTTTATTGCGCAAGATTTTAGGGTGGTCTTTCTTAAAAATGATGGTGCATATTTTTTTACGCAAGATTTTAATGGGTGGGTGGTCTACCCAGGTCCAGTGCACATTTTTCGACTTGACGTATGATGTTTTTTTTACTACTGCCCCCCGGGTTGGTCATGGATCACAATAGATCCCGCCTAAGACTTGTGGGACACTGTAGGTGAGTCATGGGTCGGGCTAGACCACCTGCAAAAATTTGTGGGGCACTCTAGGTCGGCCATGGGTTAGAGTTTTTTTTCAGACGGCAATTTCTCCCGTTTACACAATTCAGCACGACATTTTCTTTATGAACTAGTTATAAAAACAAACTAAAGAGCTTTTGATCTTTTAGTGTTTGGTGTTTTGGTGTTCAGCATTCAACCGACAGTCGATATGCCAAGTTTGAAAGTAACAAAGAAAAGTTAGAGCAATCTAAAAGTTCATCAAACAGGTTTCAGTATCTGCTGGTAAAAGGCCATGGCCCAAGTGCAGAAAAAACTGCACTAGGAATAAGATTTCATTACCTGTAATATACCTAAACGTTGTTCATTCCACATGTGCACATACTGAAGACCTACTTCCTGTCTGGGAAGGGCTGGTTATTTTTCCTGTAGAATTTGTGCCTTTAGTAATGACTTTAATTTCAACTATGATGGATAATGACTTCGATGAGTAGATTACTACTAGTTAAATATTGAAACTTTCACTCTTGTAATCAACCCCCGAGTGAATGTATCAGATATTAGCCACAAACTTTACCAAATGTAAAAGAACAAAAGGCGGCGAAGAATACACACAACCTGTATTTGGGTGTTATATAATTCATAAAGAAAATGCCGTGCTGTGACAGGACTGGTTAAACTCTTCTCAAATATAATTTTATCATAGGTATCACTCGTTACTTCAGTCAGTTATATAGAAAGATAACTCGTGTTTATTTTTGCTTTCGTCACTTCCATTATTGAAATCTTCATAACGCATCTATCGTAGCAATGATCTCTGTGTTAAAATTGTATTTGAAACGTGTTTAACCAGTTTTATATATGTGATAATGACTGACACCAATATTGTCCCAAGCTGTTGTTTAAGTATATTACGCAATGTCTTTTTAGAAAGCTCGAAACCATTAAACAACTTAAAATACAGACACTCGCGCGTGCTTTGCAATGAAATACGTCACGCGGATACCAAATTTCAACTAGTAAAAATAATGTACGCTTAGCACATTGCCCCTACCATCAAATGATGACATCACTGCTGTATGTAAATTGTAAGTAGTGGTTGATCAAGGGGGGTAACTAGAAAAACGAGACATTGACAATCACAATTTCCGTTATGCTCATTACTAGCACTAGCATCATTTTTCAGACCTTACCAACTGTACATCCGCGATAAAATTATATAATGTGAACCCTACCTAGGAGTTTGTTTTTAAAGGGCTGTAATAGTTTTAAAAAAATAGATAATGGAAACAGATTATGCTGACACTTTCTGTCAAATTGCTTCGCTTTTAACCGATATATAAGCGATTCAATTTTAGGCTTGCCTCGATCGTAATTACTAACGTTGGTACGATAATGAATAGTGTCTCGATTATCCATTTTTACGATAAATTATCTATCACGAAATGTATTCAAATGTATCGATGGCATCGAGAGATGATTATGGTCTTGATAAATTAATTAATGTCAAATTAATAGTTTACATATCATTCCAGGCCTAAAAAAAGACCCGTGATAGGCAAATTTACCGAAATAATGTATGTATGAATAGAGCTCTTCCAATTTAAACAAATAAAATTCGTACTGTTTGAATAATTTGTTCGTGTACATCTCTACGTTATATTCCGGAAACTAGTCTATATATATCTATATTTATATAAGTTTAAACATATACTCACATTCTGTGTTCTGTCTGTTATATATTTTAATTTGGTTGAAATAATACAACTGTTGTAAATCAACACACCACCAACCAGACCGTCCTTCTATTGTATGAGTACATGATTGACCATTATCATAATCACTATCAGTATTACCATCTACAGCTCTAGAAGCATCAGCACCATAGTTTGTAGAACTCTGCTGTACTAATTGTTGACGAAGAGCTACATTGGTGGATGTGTCTGTTTAAAAATGTTAAATATATCAGTTGATGTAGCTGTTTAAAAGGATAGAATATTCTATCCTTTTAAACAGCTTCATCAACTGATGGTGCAGTTCTTTATACACTTAGTATATTAAAGGTTGGGAAACAATCAAGCAGGTTTTTTTTTTCAAATATGCACCTTGATTGAGCGATGGTATTTCTATATTTCTAAAATATTACCCGTGTCAATATCTTCAATAATATTGTTGTTGGTAAGGTTGTTAGTTCTGTGTCACTTTTCATTAACTTTCCTCTTTACGTAATATGCTTACCTACCCTAAGCCCCACCCCCTACCTTTCCACAGAATACGGCTAAAGGAAACAGATATTCAACGTAATCGGTACTGTACATTATAACACCCTATCCCCATCTAAACGGATATATTATTTGTTGTAATTGGCCAGTCCTAGACAAAGGTATTTAATAGTAGACCAGGTAGCATGGATTTAATAGTTGAGCGGGTGGTTAACAACTCAAATTCTTTAAGTGACATTTAGTAATTGAACAGTAACACACTAAACACTATTTATGGATAACAATGACTGGTTTATTAACATGCTTGATAAAGATGAGAGTATCATCGTCGAAACGTTGCATGTTAATAAACTAGTAATTGTTATTCCATAAATAGTGTTAGTGGGTTAACAACTCATGTTATTAGTGAATGTAATACATCTTAGATTTTCACCTATTTGAATGCTAGCCTGGAGATCGGGTGTTCGATCCCTGCATTGGCCGAGAAAGTTTATCCAGATTTTCCGGCGTGGTTCCCTCTTGTCAGTGATTCAGTACGGTGGGCCTGACAAGGACAGCTGTCTAGTTGTTCGGATGGGACAATAACCCGAGGTCCCTTGTAGACATTGACGTGCACGTAAAAGATCTATTGACAGTTGGAATTCGATATAAGAGTAGTGCCGCTGCCCGGGAAAAATTTCCCTCATAGCACACTGTATGGCGTATACCCGTCTTCATTAGCCCAGTTCGGAGCAGAACTGTAGGACTTTAAACCTCATTCCATTTCATTTCATTTCCTATGTTTGAAATGTTTCTCTGTTAGTTTATTATTTCTTACCAGAAAATATCTGAACTTCACATAAAGTAACTACTTCAGTCACAGTAACATATACTGTTCTAGCAGATATACTAGTTGATGTAGGTTGATTACATCTATCTATTGTATATATATCTTGTATTGTTGGTGGTGTATCTTTATAACATGATGTAGCTGATGTAAATCCTGTATTACTACACTGACCATTAGAACTTATCTTTATCTCAAATCCTTGTAATCTCTCTTTTACTAGAAAATATTGTATTATAGATGAGCATCCCGATCTAATTAAAATGTAACCTTGAACCAGAAGTAATACCTGGGGTTCTGGAGATGAGGAAGCTATGCCTTCTCGTGTACAAAATTTGTGACTCGTTGATGGTATAATGTGGTCGTGTATTTTGTACACGGTGGACAGTCCATTTGCTGATTACACTATTATGCCTATACCGTTTTTTTAGGTCTTTGAATTTTGTCTGATGGTTTGGATTGTTCGTACTTGGTTTTATTTTATTATACATTCAAACTAATTTATCTTTCAAATGCTTTAAATCCCCCTCAAAACATTTTAATCCGAAGAAAACTTCCCTATGCAAGGAGAATATATTTGTAAATCTTTCTTTATCACGTGAGTTGATGGGTGGCGGTGGGGGTAAACAATTGTGAGCTTGTATTTGTAGTTAGTCGCTGTCCATTGACCTGCGAGAATGTTGACATTTTGCCTAGTATAGAAATGCTTAAACATTTCTCACACAGAGATCGTAACAGCGATAGCCGCTATCCTGACAGGTTAAAGGGTGGTGTGGTGTGCATTCCCTTCGCAAGACCGACAAAAATATGTGCGAGGTGTATTCTATTGGATAAAACTATTACCGACGTTACCCCCAGTTGAATGTAAACAACGACAATCATATCCGATCATGTGTGTTCCAAGGTAAGTAAATTAGGGAGAGGAGGAGGGGGGGGGTAACATTTAATTATCTGTAAACTATTCCGAAGTTAATAAATCTGTTTTCATTTGGCCAAATATCAATAAAATAGTGTGTAATCTAAATGTCTTTGTCGTATATAACACGTCGTCTGCTAACACTGCAACAGCCGCCATTTGCTAACACGCAAGATAGACCAGCGGTGCCCCATCTTTACGAGTTACTTCACATTATTCCATAACCTTCCATTCAGTTCCATACATGGTTCTCAATTCGTCAAAAAGGGTGAAATTTTCTTCGCCCACCAGTTCCATCTAATCAGTCATCACAACTAGATTAAATTCACAATGTCCACCATATATCAGTAGTGAATAAAAATAACAATGAAACAAATATAAGAGCACAACAAACAAACAACTTACCAACAAACAAAACTGGCAATAGAAGAGGACAACACGATCTACGTTTGTTCCAAATGTCAGTAAAATCCATCCAGAAAAACAACTACATTATATTCACAATTGAGTAGACGAAATGGTATGCAAAGAAATATATTCGCATTTTACAACAAACCCAAAAAAGATTCGAAATTGACTAAAGAAGAAGAAACACTTACAGTAATCTCTATTAAATAGTTTAATCATGTTTATATTATAAATCTGTTGTAGATCAACACACCACCAGTCACTACCATCATTATTGTCTGTATGTGAACAGTGTCCATTCTCCCAATGATTATCAGTACTACCATCTACAGCGTTACTTGAAGATGATCTGGAATAATATGCTGAACTTTGTCCCGTTGGTTTGCCAGTAGCAATGTTTGTATCTATAAATGTAACAAGTAGATACAACATACAAATACAACTTGTAAATACAACATCTAAACGACAAACAATTCTAAAACAATATGACATTTGATATGTGGAACTCTGGTCTGTTGGTTTGCCAATAGCAATGTTTGTGACTGTAAATGTAACATATAGATAAAATATGTAAATACAACATATAAAGGACATACATGTTTAAAACAATATGTACATTGTGGTTTTTATTGAAATTGTAGCTCAGAATTGATTCTGATTGGACGATAAGTGGCGTCGAATAAGTATAAGTCCTCTAAATTTCCCGAGTCGCTCTGAGTTGTAAACGAAATGAAATGGGGTTTAACATCCTACTGTTCTGCTCCTAAACTGGGCTAATGAAGACGGGCATACTCCATACAGTGTGCTATGAGGGAATTTTTGCCCGGACAGCGGCACTACGGTCTACTCTTATATCGAATTCCAACTGCCAAGGGATCTTTTACGTGCACGCTAATATGTACACGGGGCCTCGGTTTTTCGTCCCATCCGAACGACTAGACAGCTGTCCTTGTCAGGCCCTCCATCCTGCATCACTGACAAGGGGAAATCACGCCGGAAAATCTGGGTGAACTTTCTCGATCAATGTAGGGATTGTAAACGAATATTCCCTGTTTATGAATTATTCACTAGAGGTCTAGAACCGCGATCTTGACCTCTAATATTTAAAGCTTTATCAAATGGACAATAACAGTCCTCACATTCTAAACAGCCGGTGTTTATCTCCTTAATTATGTTGACCATTTAATTGATCTCGGTGTTTTTGTTCGGACCCGGTACACAGTCATATTCTTGAATTATGTTATGGAATGTATGGTGATAAATAACTATTTCAATAGCTGTCAATAGTGATAAATGTTATCTTCATGGTCCCATTAGTCATTACAACGGCAACTATTCAATATAATAAAACAAGTATTACCTATACAAACACCACATGATCTCATACAGTTCTCTCTATAAAACTGGTCTATAGGATATACAGTATTACCACATGATTGACAGTTGATGTTGTCAGTATCTCTACAAACATCTAATGCTGTAAATAAATATAGCATAAGAAATACAAAATATATGTTTTATAAGATACGACTAGGAGAATAATGTCGATTTTACGCGTAGATGACTAAACGGGTTGTTTGACGCCTGAACATTGGATCGCCATAGAGAATAGGAGTAGACGTATCTTACCAAAGAAGTACTAACGACCGTCGTTAGTAAACTATTTATTGTAGTACAATATGCCATGCATTATGTTGTAGTTTGTGTTAATCGGCAGTTAAACCTTATTCCTCTATTTTTCTTCAACGTGAAAGAACGAATACGGCGATAATACTAATTCTATAGTATTGTTGGGCAGGGTGTTGAATTACAAAAAAAAAAACCTTTGTGAAGAACATCGTTAAAAGATTACAACACCAAAAAATGAATCCTCTTTCACATAAATTAATATTCGTCAGATTATAGACCACCTTTATTTATACTTCTGTCTATGGGAAATGAAACGATATGCATCTTAATGTCCAATTAATTTGTGGGACTACCACGAACCCTAACTACAGCGAGTTCAATCCATTGTAGACCACTTATAATTCTGTATAAATAATGTTAATGGTTGCTAGAATTTATAACTCTAAACTATAATTGGGAACGGGTGGGTTTTGCTTTTATATATATATATCTATGACTATAAATACGTCCTTACTACGCGGATACCTTTATAACCCGTTGTGCCCCAGGAATATAATGACTACAGAGTGTCTTCCAATAATGTACAACTGGTAAACCCTTGTCCCACAGCAATAATAGATAACGTTACGTTAGGGGGTGTTCCTGGTACTGGAGCGTCTACAAACTAAGAGAAAAGAATACTTTTAACTGCAGCTGACCTTTATTATGGGTGCTGGTATATACAGTGTGAGTGAGCAAGGAGAGACAGGAATCGCTCCCATATATACCCTGGCGGCGCTAACCCTTATCATCAGTGTTAAGTAACTTTTAAACTCTTAACTTCTAAACTTGGTCTAAACGTATGAATGTAGGAAACCACAATCAATGTTGCATATGTATGTAAATAAGAGATGAGTAAGTGATCTTGACATAAACTATTTATTTCAATAATTATACAACTTTGTGGTGTCGTAGATGTTCATGTTTGATAGACATGAACTCTACAGGATACGGCTATGGAGGAGGTATGATAAGGCATGTACACTTATGTGTGACTAACATCGGAACGTACTATACTATAACATAATTAACAAATTAACAATGTTACTACTTACTTAAAGTATACTTTATTAACGATAATATACTTATAACTGCTGACAACTCTTTGACTTTCATTTTTGACCACAATCGTCAGGCCTAGAATAAACAAAAGAGTTAAATTGCATCTTTTTAAACTTTCATTTACGAATTTGAAATACAGTTCGCTTAAAATAGAAATCCACATAATATTACTTTATAAAATTAATTAAGGCTGCTAATTTTCGACAGTGCTGGAAGTGCCTTTTCTCAGACCCGAATGTGTCCGTTTCCAATCCGTTGCAGGGATCCCAAATGACTCAAACCATCGACTCAAACACGCCAGTCTGGTCTAATTAATGTTTCCACTTTCAAACGAATTCTTGTTGTTTAGCTGACGGTGCCCTAGACAGACATCAATGAGAGCATCTTGTGGAATCGGCGGCGTAAACACTCATGCCCATCACCGACGCGCATGAGTGCAACTTGATGTAGCATTGTTTCATGTGTGGATAGTACACAGTACAGGTTACTATAGCCAAGTGAAGTGGCTAGGGAATAGATTCGTCTTTTTTCCCATCATGACGTACCAACTTTATATATTCCGTATTTAAGGAGTGAAATAACTTAGACGAAAATATCAGCCAAATAGCTCTTGGAATGGCGTACCCCGTCTCCGCGGTCAGTGTCCTCATTTTGCGGCACCCCCCCCCCCTTTCAAAATTCCTAGATACGCCCCTGATGATGCTCAATGTCATAAAAATTATAAATCTTATAGTTCTTTCGTAACACATCACTGGTTTCTACGAATAATATAGCCTTTCTATGCTCCTTAACGCAATCACTTGTGTAAATATGTGAAGATATTTGAGTAGCTTCCCCGTAGAACACTTATGCCATATAAAGAACGTTGTGTTTATAATGCGTGACATCTTCGCCGATAAATACGTATACATGCTCCGGTGGCGATACAGAAACTAGTCAGCATTACTTGTATTATAAATGTACATAGAACATCTTTAATTCCCACCATTGACGTGTGGGGGTGGGGGGTGACCGATTGGTTAGCGCATGCACGCTGTATCGTAAGGTCTGTCATTGAGTCAACTAGCGTGGTTTTGATTGCCCGGTTGTACGTGACAAGGACTAGGGCCGCCTGTCCAACCTCGTGGGTTTTCTCAGTGTCCTCCCATTGCTAAAGACCCCTACGCGCAAGTCAACTATTGGAATAAATTGAACCATATGTTAGTCCTGAAATGGCCTAGTTTGCGTCAAGTGGACGTTAAACCCCATCTCTCTCTCTCTTTCTCTCTCTCTCTCTCTCACCATTGACTTTAATGTTAATTTTAATCATATTGGTCGGCTGTAACGTTACTCCTAAATTTAGTATTGCGATTTGCAGTCCATTATGTACCAACTAAATAAATTGTAGTGTTAAGTAGCAGGTTATATATGTATATATGACTAAATCCGTCACATCCTCCTATTTACGTCCTTACCTATATGACAACATGTCAGACTTATTATAGTTTATGAATAAGAAATACTACTAAACTACATACAGCGACAGTTCATATCGTATATTTCTTTTGTTGTCTTTTTATAAGAGTATAGGGGGATCACGTGGCTAAGTGGGTAAGATGCTGGCTCGCTAGCCTGGAGGTCGGGTGTTTGATCCCTGCATTGGCCTAGAAAGTTCATCCAGATTTTCTGGCGTGGTTCCCCCTTGTCAGTGATGCAGGACGGAGGGCCTGACAAGGACAGCTGTTTAGTCCTTCGGATGAAACGACAAACCGAGGTCCCGTGTATACATTGGAATGCACGTAAAAGACCCTTGGCAGTTGGAATTCGATATAAGAGTAGGCGATAGTGCCGCTACCAGGGCAAAATTTTCCCCATAGCACACTGTATGGCGTATGCCCGTCTTCATTAGCCCAGTTTAGGAGCAGAACAGTAGGACGTTAAACCCCATTTTATTTCATTTTATAAGAGTATATGTCAATTTGAAGATTTCACATACCAAACTAATTTGTGATGTTGGTTTTGTATGATAAACACATAACTTTCGTCTTATAAATCGTACATTTCTATTTGAAGATTCACATATCAAATTAATTTGTGATGTTGGTTTTGTATGATAAACACATAACTTTCGTCTTATAAATCGTACATTTCTATTTGAAGATTCACATATCAAATTAATTTGTGATGTTGGTTTTGTATGATAAATACACATAACTATAGAGTAAACGTCAATATAAGATCCTCATGCATGGTTTATTTTCATACGCCCACATTTTCATGTGGACGTATTATGCCGTCGCCCCTGTCCGTCCGGACGTCCGTCCGTCCACAATTGTTTGTGGACTCTCTACAGGTCACAATTCTTATCCGATTTCGACGAAACTTGAAATATAGGTGTATCCCCAAAAGATCTCGGCTGCTTTCGATATTGGCATGTATCGGATCGAAACTTCATGGATTATGGCCCCTGTTTGTACGAAAAATCACGTTTTTAGCTTGTGGACCCTATAGAGGTCACAATGTTGATCCGTTTTTGTTGAAACTTGAAATGTAAGTTTATAACACAAAGATCTCAGTTCCTTTCGATATTCGCGCATATCGGACAGTAACTTCCTGATATATGGCCCCTGATTGTACGAAATATCACGTTTTTAGCTTGTGGACCCTATAGAAGTCATAATTTTTATCCGATTTAAAAAAACGTATTATTATATCACCGTTACACCCTAAGGATGACTGACCCTATAGAGGTCACAATTTTGATCCGATTTTGTTGAAACTTGAAATGTAAATTTATAACCCAAAGATCTCGGTTCCTTTCGATATTCGCGCATATCGGACCGTAATTTCTTGAATTATGGCCCCTGATTGTACGAAAAATCGCGTGTTTAGCTTGTGGACCCTATAGAGGTCATAATTTTTATCCGATTTAAAAAAACCGTATTATTTTATCACCGTTACACCCTAAGGACGACTGAGTTTGAATTTCGTGAAAATCGGTCCAAAATTGAGACAAAATGGCCGCCGTTCGTTCTGGAATAGCATAAGAATATGTTATATCAAGGTTGTGGACCCTATAGAGGTCACAATTTTTATCCGATTTTGTTGAAACTTGAAATATAAGTTCATAACCCAAAGATCTTGGTTCCTGTCGATATTCGCGCATATCGGAACGTAACTTCCTGAATTATGGCCCCTGATTGTACGAAAAATTGCGTTTTTAGCTTGTGGATCCTATAGAGGTCATAATTTTTATCCGATTTAAAAAAATGTATTATTATATCACCGTTACACCCTGAGGACGACTGAGTTCGAATTTCGTGAAAATCGGCCCAAAATTGACAGACAAATTGGCTGCCGTTCATTCAGTTCCTTTCGATATTTGTGCATATCGAATTGTAATTTCCTGAATTATGGCCCTTGATTGTAGGAAAAATCGCTTTCTTGTTAGCTTGTTCTCTATCCATCTCTCGAAAATGTGGGCGTATCCTGCCTGGCAGCCGCTGGTTTATTATTTCAGTTGGTAAACTTAACATAAAAAGTGACAAGTATTTGAATCTGTATTATCATAATATTTGTATCAAGTAATAATTCTTTAAATATATAGAAATTGTAAAACTTACCATATATTATGTACTAATATCAACCGAATTACAAGCAACTGAAATACGTCCGGAATACGTGCCCCAACTTAGTGAACTGGATGAAACCAACACCTCACATCAAATAATTTTAAACCAGGAAGTAAATTACCGTAGACCTTGGTGGCCTGTATACAAAGATTTGTGTATATATTGTCACACTACAGTGATTTATTAAATAGGACGCAACGTAGGATGATAAAAAGTTAATAAAAAATCTACTCTCTGGTTAAAGTTTATACAAATTATGAACGTTTTTGAAAAGAAAAAAAACTAATTCCATCTTAGTTAATAAAAAAAATCTACTCCCGGGTTAAAGTATATACAAATTATGAAGTTTTTAAAAATAAAAAAAACTAATTCCTTCTTAGCTAGCGCTTTCACCCACGAAGGGGATCATCAGGCATTGAGCATTATATGAAAATTCAAATGCTGAGGAAAGAAACACAAATTAAAGCGTCTAGAGCTTTCAATTCCACCAGAATTAAGATGTGAGGCTGGTTCAAAAATGAAATCTGTATTAACATTAAATATTTATAATGTAACAGATTATATGATTAGCTCCCAGGATGAGCAAAAAGTACTTTAAAATGTTAAAATGTTGTTAAATCAGTGTTGAAATCAGCTTGTATTGGCGTACTTTTTTATATTTTCATTGTTTACCGTTTAACACAGTAGTACAACTTCACGATATCGCTATTTTTTATTTGCTTTAGTATCCTGTTTGCATATAAAGTTGATGGATTTTACGATATGGTTTTTTTTGCGCTATGTTTTAGTATCCTGTTTGCATATAATGTTGATGGATTTTACGATATGGTTTTTTTTACGCTATGTTTTAGTATCCTGTTTGCATATAATGTTGATGGATTTTACGATATGGTTTTTTTTGCGCTATGTTTTAGTATCCTGTTTGCATATAATGTTGATGGATTTTACGATATGGTTTTTTTTGCGCTATGTTTTAGTATCCTGTTTGCATATAATGTTGATGGATTTTACGATATGGTTTTTTTTTTGCGCTATGTTTTAGTATCCTGTTTGCATATAACGTTGATGGATTTTTAAGCTTACGATCAATCGATGCTAAACAATTCTCTTTTTCGCTCTACATATACAAAGAAGGAAATGCTTTTTAACTGTCTCCCGTTTCCTCAGCGACAGGGCTAATGAAGACGTGTACACGCCATTCAGTGTGGTATGAGGGAAATCTTGAACAGACAGTGACACTACGGCCTACTCTTACGCGAATTCCGTCAGTCAGGGGTTTTTATACGTGCACTCTCATTTGTACACAGGGCCGCGGTATTTTGTCCCATACTAACTACTATACGCTGACATGAGGGAACCACGGCTTAAAAATACCGATCAACTTTCTCCACTAACACCGGGAACCAAAACGGGATCTCCAGCTTAGCGAGCCAACGTCTTACTCGCTGAGCCACCCCGGCTCCCTACAAAGAAGCAAGGTGGGGTAGACAACCATTATAATTAATATTAATGATATTTAGTAGGAATGAAATGGGGTTTAACGTCCTACTGTTCTGCTCCTATACTGGGCTAATGAAGACGGGCATACGCCATACGGTGTGCTATGAGGGAAATTTTGCCCGGGCAGCGGCACTATCGCCTACTCTTATATCGAATTCCAACTGCCAAGGGATCTTTTACGTGCATTCCAATGTATACACGGGACCTCGGTTTTTCGTCTTATCCGAAGGACTAGACAGCTGTCCTTGTCGGGCCCTCTGTTCTGCACCACTGACAAGGGGGAAACTACGTTGGAAAATCCAGATGAACTTTCTCGGCCAATGCAGGGATCGAACACCCGCCCTCCAGGCTAGCTATTTAGTAGGGATGTTGTCCCAAAATGTGCACGGCCTCATTGTAAACAAGGTAAAGTCTTCAACATTTGCATGACATCAAGTTTTATTATAGTATAATCAGAAAGCCCCGTCTGTTTTGTTTTTAAAAATGAAAGGTAAATGGGGTTTAACCTCCTACTGTTCTGCTCCGACTGTTCCATAAAAACGAGAATATGCCATACAATGTGCTAACCGGACAACGTTACTACGAACTGCTCTTATTCCGAATTTCAACTGGCAAGGGCACTTTTACGTGCACAACAATATGTACAAGTTACCTGTTTTTTTTTTACTCTATCCGAACAACTGGACACTGTCCTGCACCAGTGACAAGGGGAAACCACTCTAGAAAATCCTAGGCAAGTATGTCGGTAAATTCCGGGAGACAACCCGAGACCTCTTATTTACTCACTGGGCTAAAGCAACTCTTTTTTTATGCAATCGAATAGACCGGTTCATTTTATCCAATCGAAGGTCTCTTGAGTGGCGTCAATAGTAACATATAACGAATAAATGGCGGATATTGTGGAATCCACACAGTTCCTCGGTAGTTTTACCCTAGTTTCCTCTTGTCAGTGGTGCAGGAGAGAAGTGTCTATTCGCTAGAATGGGTTAAAATACCGAGGTCCACGTAGAAAAACATTGACAGTTGGAATTCGATGATGAGTAGCCTAGTATGCATAGAACGAGGACGTTGAACCCCATTTTATTGCATTTTTAATATCGTTTTTAAATCATTTGATCTATCAGATCCTTAAAATTATGGCAATCATATTTTGGATATTTAAATAAATCCATATAACAATTAAAAAATACATAATGAAACATTTGGCGATCTTGTCGGCCAGATTTGTTGTGATTGGAATATAGACATCAGTATATATATTGTGGTCTGTCACTTTGATGGATCTTTTCCACCGAAAGCAATTGTTTTGTTAGGTCAAGGTCGTATAAAGAAACTCAATACAGAGTTCCGTCATTCCCGTGTATAATCTACTCTGACCGTTAGGGACCTCTCGAGTCGACGTTGTCTATTGTGTTTGATTAGGTCGGGCGCTACATAGTTAAACTGTGTTGTTTTTCTTTAAACTGCACTGTTATTGTTCTAAAGCAGTGGACACATTAGCCGAATCGTTCGGCCGAATCAATCGGCTCCGAATTTTATTCGGCCGAATGGGTGGACACACTAGCCGAATGCTTCGCCCGATTCAACCTGTCGATTGCATCACCTTTCACGTCACATGATTAATCATGGCGGCATCTATGTCTTCAATCTATCACGTGATTTCTCGTTATGAGTGGTGATTGGCTAATGAATTCTATATTCGGCCGAATGCTTCGGCGAAGCGCACACACCAGGCGAATATAATTCGGCTGAATATATCAAACCTGTTTGATTCGGGCGAAATTCGGCCGAATGACAGTGGACACACTGGGCGAATTTCGACGCCGATTGATTCGGCCGAATCATTCGGCTAGTGTGTCCACCGCTTAAGCTATCAACCATGAATAATACACGAGTCAGTAACCGTCAATGTGAGCTCTACCCAATTTATGTATATATATACCTATTATGTCAAGGTCGTTTTCAATTTAAGCAAATACATATATCGTTAGTAGACACGATATCAATGTTTGTCACGGATGCTTTCATCCAGAAAGAACATTTTTATACGCCCATATTTTCACGTGGACGTATATTGTCGTTGCCCCTGTCCGTCTGTCAACAATTTATTTGTGGACACTCTACAGGTCACAATTTTTATTCGATTTTGACGAAACTTAAAATATAGTTCTATCTCCCACAGATCTCGGTTCCTGTCGATATTGACATATCGGACCATAACGTCATGGGTTATGGCCCTTGATTGTACGAAAAATCACATTTTTAGCTTGTGGACACTCTAGAGGTCAAAATTTCAGCTGATTTTGATGAAACTTGAAATGCATGTTTATAACCCAAAAATCTTGGTTCCGTTCGATATTTGTGCATATCAGATCGTAACTTCCTGAATTACGGTTCCTGACTGTACGGAATATCGCGTTTTTAGCTTAGAGGTCACAATTAGCTTAGAGGTCACAATTATTATCCCATTTCAAAAACGTTTGAATATATCACCATTACACTGAAATATGCTTGAGTTCGAATTTTTATCCGATTTAAAAAACGTTTGAATATATCACCGTTACACTCGAATGATAAGATTTCGAATTTCGTGAAAATCGGACCAAAACTGCCGGACAAAATGGCCACCCCCTTACGCGAATGTATATATGGTATATGAAGGTTGTGGGCCCTCTATAGGCCACAATTTCGATCCGAGTTTGATGAAACTTGAAATACATGTCTATAACCCAAAGGTCTTGGTTCCGTGTCATATTCGCGCATATCGGATCGTGGCTTCCAGAATTATGGCCCTTGATTCTACGAAAAATCGCTTTTTGTTTAGCTTGTTCTCTATCCACCTCTTGCAAAATGTGGACGTATTCTGCCTGGCAGCCGCTAGTTGTATCTGGAGAAAACTTGTGATACCACATGCATAATCTCGGCCTGTGGGGTAGCTTATCTATCTCCATTAAGAGCTTTTTAGAAGATAGATCATTTAAGGTACGCTTGGGATCAATTTTCTCTCACCCATTTTCTTCCCAAAGAAAGTGGAATTTCCTCAGGGACGTATTTTATCTCCCACTTTATTTTCTATTAAAATTAATACAATACCGGCGTGCCTTAAACGTGGTGTAGCTGGTTCTCTTTCGGTTGATGACTTTCAGATGTGTTACGTTTACATCCTGACCCGGGGCTTACACTGGGGGGAAGTCCCATTCCAGTTGTAGATGGCATATAATCATTTTAGGCACACACCGTACATCTCCAGTGCACAGTTTATACTGCGAGGCGTACGGGCCCTCATTGCACGAAAGACGTGATAAACTGGCACTGCAGTATGCTACAAATATTCTATCTCTGCCTAATCATATTTCATATATTATATCCAGACCATATCATGAACATCTATATTTGCAGAAAACTAACGTTATTCCATCATTCGGTATTCGCGTTCAACCCCTTTCGTCTGCGACTGACATCGGTTATGACAGTATTGCGAATGTCCTTTTCTTTGGTATTCAACCCTGGATTACATCTCTCCCAAACATCGATTTAGATCTAACAAAAAAAAAAAGAAGAAATATACTAGTTCCACGGTATTT